GGTGTCGGTGCTTGTATATTTCCAAGTGAGAGCTCGAAACTTGGAGATGCCTCCTTGGTTTTTCATACTTCCCACACCACACCCACCATGTGTCGAAACTGTTTCAGGCTCAGGCATCGAAGCAGAGCTACTTCCACCCAGCCTTATGCTCAAAAGACCAAAGATTCTCGTCTCGCCAGGGATGTTTGGGTTCAAAAGTCGCTTGCGAAACTCAAAAGTCGCTGGTCCTTCACAAAAAAACAGTGGATGTTCTTCTGTCCAAGCTTTGTTTGAAACAACTGCCTTCTAGCTGCTAGCGATATTGTCCTGTGGAATCCGTGGATCGTCTGCTGAACTCGACTTTCGTAGAGACCCACTCAGTTGGACGGGTCTAGAGCTTGAAGAAACTGAGGCCAGCTTGCTTGGACCCAAAAATACCACCAGTTGTAAAGTAAAGAGACATGGATCTCCCTCCGGTAACGTCTTCATGAGACGTGCGTCTTTGTCTTCTCACACACAAAGACGGGCGCCTTTTTGCGGTGGCCCATCTCTCCGCAGCGACCCCCTCCGGGTCACGACCTCCCACAGCGAAACCTCGACGACTGCGAAACCAAGGCCAAGACGATCGAGCCGTCTCCATGGCGTGGATGCGGCGAAAAGTGGCGAACGACTAACGACGCGAGGGGCTCTGCTTCCGGGCTCTGCTTCCGGGAGGTGCTCAGTACTCGTTCCGGAGCATGACTTGAAGAGATGTTCGTTCGCAGGTTTCCCTGGACGAATGCTGAAGTGTCTCAGTTGAACTGGGAAAACCTGAATTGGTTGGAACTGCAGAATGTTTTTTCTGGATCATCGGTGAATAGCTCGAAGGCCTGCGGTACGCAGCGGCATTGGATTGTCACATGAAGCAAAGCTTTACATGCACTCTCTGTGTGTGTCGGATCTCCCAAGAGGTGTTCATTGTCTCGTCACCAGGAGATGGTGTGTACGTGTGTTAAGCACACCTTGAGGGCCTCATGTATGTGTGTATATGTGTAGAATACTGTCTATACAAAATATGCTACATATACATATGTCAACGCTATCTAAAATATAAATCTGTAAATGTCCTTTGGAGAGAGAAAAACGAGGTAGATCATCCATCAAATCCAAACAGCTGGCAGTGCATACCCTGGAGTCTCTTTCTAATTATACACAACCGATCAGATAAAGCAAAGAGATCATCTAGCCGTCTCTCTCTCTCTCTCTCTCTTTCTCTCTTTCTCTCGTTCTCTCGTTCTCTCCTCTCCTTTTCTCTTTCCCTCTTTCTCTCTTTCTCTCTTTCTTGGCTTTTGACTTTCTCTCTTTCTCGCTTTCTCTCTTTCTCCCTGTCTCTCTGTCTCTCTTTCTCTCTTTCTTGTTTTCTTTCTTTATCTATGTATGTCTTTTGTTCTTTTGTTATGTCTTAATTCTTTTTCTGTCTGTCTGTCTGTCTGTCTGTCTTTCTTTCTTTCTTTCTTTCCTTCTTTCTTTCTTTCTTTCTTTCTTTCTTCCTTTCTTTCTTTCTTTCTCTCTCTCTCTCTCTATTTCTCCCTCTATTTCTCTCTTCTTTCTCTCTTCTCTCTCTTTCTGTCTCTTTCTCTCGCTTTCTCTCTCTCTCTCTTTCTCTCTCTCTGTTTCTCTCTCTCTCTTTCTCTCTCTTTCTCTCTCTTTCTCTCTCGTTCTCTCTCTTTCTCTCTCTTTCTCTCTCTGTCTCTCTCTTTCTCTCTCTTTCTCTCTCTTTCTCTCTCTTTCTCTCTGTTTCTCTCTCTCTCTCTCTGTCTCTCTGTCTCTCTGTCTCTCTGTCTCTCTGTCTCTCTGTCTCTCTCTCTCTCTCTATCTCTCTATTGATCGATCGATGGATCGATCGATCGATGGATCGATCTATCATCTATCTGTCTGTCTATCTATCTATCTATCTATTTATCTGTCTCTCCGTCTGTCTATCTGTCTATCTCTCTATCGATCTATCGACCTATCGATCTATCCATCCATCCATCCATCGCTCTCTCTATCTCTCTATCTCTCTCTCTCTCTCTCTCTCTGCTCGACATCCGCCAGGAGCTTTTTCCCCCTCACTTGCTTTCGCAAAGTGCTAGGTCTAAATTGACCTGTGAACCCAGCTGCGCACAGCCTTTGCAGCATTGCTGCTAACCCGGGGGCATCTTCAGCGTGTCCAAACACCAGGCCCTACCGATGCCATCAAGAGAGGGTCGACAAATGCGACCGCGAAGTCAGGCACCTGTCAAACAGGGTTGGGCAGGTCCAACATGGCGTTGAAAGAATGGGTTGTATTAATGTAGACTGTTGATTCATAAACATCCCCAGTTGAAGTGGTTTTAGAATCCACATGAGTGGGGTTATTCATCAAGAGTCTACATTAAGGTCACATTAAGTACAAACAATTTGCTCCACCGAGGTCCCCACAGGTTGTCTGGCCCAACCCTGTGTGAGACTCCACTTACTTTGAGTGAAGACAGCTAACCGTAGCATTGTCCGTTCTTCGCTTGCGGAAGGGATCGGGAGTCGACCCGCTGTCTTCAAAAACAGGTCACTTCTCTTGGTTTTGAGTTTGTCTCAAAAGGAGGAAGCCTGTGTGGCACTTCAATTGTGGCACCTATTCGTTGCAGGGGATGTCCATGTTTTTCGCGCACGGTACGGGTGCAGTCTGTCCAGTCACCAGTCTGGGCAGTCACTGATTGGAGGTCTTGCATGATCTATGTATCTACTCTGGACTCTGTGCTCATCCACTCTGTCAGAAACATTGAACACAGCGAAAAAGGACAGCATACGCCCAGTATCTTGAGATGAAAAGCCTAAATTGCTGAAGTTTCTTGTAAAATGATCTTTGCAGGGTGACCCCTGGGGCTACTGTTGAAGGACGGCGTTCCTACCCCAGAGAAACATCAGAAACACGACAATGATCGCTATGACAACGGCGGATCCATCATCAAGTGGTTTTTCACTCTTCCACCAACAGTCTGACTGCCGTTCCCATCCCATCTCAGCTATCTGCCTGCTGCACTGGCCTTTGCTGAGGCCGGCCTTTTCATCGCAGGACCTGTCCGAAGAATCACGGACGTGACCCGACTCGACCATTTGAACAGCAGACCACCACCGGCACAGTCGACCAACCTGTGGCAGAAAAGGAGGGAATTCTGGGAATGCGTATACAATGCATGGTCAAGGAGTATCTTTCGTTGGATATTGAATAGTGATACAGCATGTTGATGCTTTTTCTTATATGTTTGATCATATTACTAAGTTCTGGGCTGGATCTTTGGACTGGCTTTTTGGCTGGCCCTCGACCCACCGTCAAGTCACCCAGCCCATCATGTGACGGTTGAAACCAAACGCAAGTGACCGCTCTGTTGAGGTAGAGTTTGGACAGTTTGGATGCCTCTTTGTCAGAGTATCTAACTTGGTACTTGATGTTCACCCAATTTGTCCAGCTCTGTCTCACGGTGCGCTTCGATACATACCCAAGCGCGCCATCGGAACTCGGCCATCCCAAAACCCCAACTGTCTCCTTTCACGGACCATTCCCCGGCGACCCGGGCAGCTCCCGTTCCACCGGGAACGCTTCGGCCTGCCATGCGCGCCCGCTTCTTTTGTGGCTCCTCGGGCGCCGCCTCTTGAAGCGCCGCAATCCTCGGGAGAAGCCGGAGAAGGGCTGAGCGTTTCCAACGGAAGGGCAGGGCGTTCCTGTGAAAAAAGGAGCAGGAACTGCGAAGTTGCCTGGTTCTGGGAGGATCCGGAAGCACCGACCCACTGAGAAGTCTTTGGAGTGGTATTCCCCCCCCTCCTTCAGTCTGTCAAAAGGAAAGGTCCACCTCGCATACCGCGCAGGGCGGTCGTCAAAACTGGTCACGATGGGTCCCACGCGACCGGAGCCACCTATCCGTCGGTCCACGTTCCCGGTCTCCGAGGGAGGGAGGGAGGGAGGGAGGGAGGGAGCTCCACCCGGTCCCAGGAGAAAAGACCGCTGCTGAAAAGGCACTCGCGGGCTTTCTCCGCATACAATTCGGCCCACCTTAGCATGCGTTGATTGGGCGCTGAAGTGAAAAATCGACTCACTTCCTCCCCGAAACAAAGGCGAAACCTCTGGAAAGACCACGTCATGGATGTAATAGTGGGGCCCAACATCCTCCCGAACCGCTCTGAAACCCGGGACCGACGGAGTCGCCGGTGGGAGGAGGGAGTGGGCACCAAATCAATTCGGGGGAGGGCGTTCGGGTAGATTGGTTCGTGGTGATGACCAGAGTCTCCATACAACTACATACAACTACAGGTGGTAGTAGTACCCTCGTTGTATGCTACCGGGACCCTACAGGAGTGTGATTGGCATAATCTGTAGGTGTTCTGGTACATTGCCTCCTCTGCCGCTCTCCCGGGTGGGCAGTTGGCCTGTGTGAGTCATGTAGACTCCCATGGTGCTTTTCCATGGCCCCTGGTAGGGGCCCGTAGATGGATCGTTCGGAAGACCAGTTGCAGGTGGTGAACCCCACAGCAAACCATGAGGAATTCAGGGAGTGTGCATGGTTGATAGACTTACCTGGCCACTCTCTGGTCCAACTTCTCCCATGTGGCAGGTTTTATTGAGCCAACAGTCTAACGGGCCCCGCTGGCCAAAGGAAAGTCGGCCGTTCTTGGGCTTCTTGGGCAGCCATACCCATGTGAATTTGGGCGAACGCCCAAAACGCACCACAGGACGCTGTGTGGGACCTCTCTCACAAAACGCCGGAGGGGCAGCTCACAGAGGCTGCGAATCCAAAAAAAACGAACCTGCACTGCCTGCTGGAAAAGGGACAACTCAATGAAAGGTCAAGTCTTCTAGAATGCTTTTTACAGAGCCGCGCCCCGAGTTTATGTTGACCACATTCACATTCTAGCAATGATGACTTAGACCTAGCTAGCTAGTTCTCACCAAGAGTCCTGAGCTTAGACCAAAACCACCCTGTCTCCATCCGCGACACTTTGGCACAAAATCCTCCTTGAGGTGCCGGATGAAGTACGTCGTCCCACCATACCTGGCGGTTTTCATCGGCCGCCACCGGAACTCGCGATCGATGCTTCGGGCAGAAAAAACAGCTCCGGAATCAGAGGAAAAGCAACGGCTTTAAGTTCGGGTGTCGTAAAAGTGTGTTAATAACTGAATTAACACATCCTGTTGTTACATTTGTCCATGTTAGAAACCGGTAGCCCGGTAGCTCTTTTGTTGCCTCTGACTCTGATTGTGATGGAGATGATCTATGCACATGTGTCAGCGCAGCTTCCAGCTCTTCACATAAAAAATAGACGATGTTGACCGCTACAGTAAGACAGCATCCCGAACCCACGAGGCAGCATCCAAAATGGCCGCTTCCGCTTGACGGACAGGTCCGCAATCGTTCTTGGCTTTTGGCCCGTTCTGCCTCGGCCTTTACCTTTGCCCATTGATTGTCCTTTTCCTTTGCCCTTCAGGACACCCTTTGCGCTCCCCTTGGAGCCTCCTTTTCCCTTCCTGCCGTGTCCTTTTCCTTTTCCTTTTCTGGTTCCTTTCAAATTGATAGTAAGCCTGCATCGATAGGCACTCCATATTGTGTCCAAGAGCCACGTAGCTCGAGGTCTCTCTGAAACCACGATATTTGCACTTGAAAGTAACTGGGTACTTCAGGCGAAATAGCTGCATTCTTCCATGAGGAGGATAACCTGGTATGATGAAAGGGATAAGTCTGGTTCACAACAACACGTTAATTTTAAGACGGGAAAGCACAAAGAAACTCGAACAAGAAGCAAAACACGCGGACAAACTAAAGCCACGGGCAAGGAGCCTTTGACAACCTGGTTCTTGGAAATCTTCAAATTACTGCTCTTTCGTGACTTGCGTGTCTTTCTTTCGTTCGCCTCTTCTTTCGTTCGATGTGCTGTCCAGTGGTTCTTCTGCTCTCGCTGATCTTGGCGCGATTGTCTCTTGATCTCTTTCATCCGCTCTTCCAATTTCTTGTCAAGCTGATCGCTCAGAAGCCCTATACCATACTCGACAGCAATTCAATGGGAGAGGTTGCCTTGAAACCACGATGGTTTCGAAACATTCTGAAACGCAAGAACCTTCCGAGGTACGCCTCAGCATCTTCAAGGTCAATCTCAAGACTAGACACCATCAGGAGCACTTAAGCTCTCAATGTAACCAAAGGAATGATTACTCTTGAGGTAAAAAAATCCGAAAACGGCCAATTTCTTCAGTTTCCTCAGTCTCCTCATCCGTGCTCGACTCGTCATTCTGCCCTTCATTGTGAGAATCTTCATCCCACTCTTCATCTTCATCCCACTGATCTTCCTCCTCTAATTCGCCATCCTCCTCATCTGCCCTCCAGTCCTTGTGATACGAAGTAAACTGCTCCTCACAATCGCTGGGCTCCATCGGGCAGCCACGTCCATTACAGCCTTTGATCTGGGACTGGATTGAAGGAGTCATTGAAAACATATTAAAACTGCATCCCTGACTTCCTTGAAGAACCACTGAACATTCTCTGGCTTGATGTTTCAGTGTGAAGGGCTCATGATTTCTTTTGTGTCAACATGGGCTCGGCTCCATGAAAAACGAGCCCTCAGTTCCGATGAAGAAGATGTTCTCATGAAAAGAGTCAAGCTCCATACCAAGAAACTGGTCTTCTTAGCATCAACAAAAACATACCACTAGTACTACCCTTTGCCACCAGAGTTGCATGCTGCGTGACCTCAGTTTCTGGGGAAGTTTGGAGACATCCTACTGCGCAACCACTTCCGCGCGCTTCCTTTCCGACCGTGACCGCGTGGCGCGTCCTCCGCGCGGCGTGACCCGTCCACCCGCTTTTTTCCGCGCGGCGTGACCCGTCCGTTCGGCGCACTCGATCTCGTTCAAGAAGAAGGTTCGCTTCTCGGGATCCCAGTTGGTCTCCTGAGAAGCTGCGAACGACGGGACCTGAACGACGGGACCTGTCACGGCGAAAGCCACGAATGTGTGGGTCTTTCTTCGAATTCGTGGGATCTGGCAGGTCACTAAACTGATATTGTTCCTGTTCATTGTTGCTGTCGATATACCTGGTACGTTAGTTCATGTTAGTTCATAGACGATGCTTTTGACCTGCTATATAGTATCTCCAAATGAACCACTCGTTTACAAATCCAAGCTTGGTTTCAGGGCCTTCAACGGATATTGCTGGCATGCCTTCTTCGTTGGTTCTGTTTGAACTCTCGCAAGTGCCACTTTGGTCACCTTGTGGAGGAGTTCTGCATGCCTATAGTCTCCGACTGAAGTGTCCAAAAAGTGAAAGCATTTCCTTGTCATAGACCTGACTGTCGGAGCAGCCGATGTCAGTGCGGATGAGTGTCCTGGGCTCGGAGCAAGTGTAAAGTGAAGTGTTCAATCAGCCGTGGCTCAAAATGGGAAAGCTTTGATAAATTGCGCCAGCGTAGACCCCAGATAGCAAAACCAATTTGCGAAAGCAAAACACTAGCTGCACCTTGCAGCTGCACCCTGCCCTTTTGCTATTGGCAAGATTTAAAACATACCCAAATACATCAGGACACCCCAAGAGTCGGTTGAGGAATGCAAGAACAACGGATAGTGATGCGGTGACATGTCACAACGAATAGTAGGATCGAACACGAATAGTTGCATGGAAGGCAAACATTTTATCATGGGGTACCCACCACCAGTCCGATTTCCATTCAGTTTCTATCGCGGATAAATATACCCTGCTGGGGTGTCTCCTGGCTGGGGCTCTCGAGTTGACCGATTTCTGCCGTTCCACGCCCCTCTCATCGGTGCAGTCAGGCGAGACCAGAGCATGACCAGAGCACAGCCATGGGTGCCAGAAAGCAACCGGATCGGTGGATAAACTGGGGAAGACAGCTTGACATGTTGGGCGAGAGGATCTACAGAAGCCTGGAGTGTTGGAGAAATGCGCCATGGTGCGACAGCATCTAGCATGTGGCGACAGCCACTCGAAAACTGAAGTGCGACAGCACCAACATCAAATAGAAGTCTCTCCCCCCCGGAAAGCTTCCCGAGAAGAGGCCCCAAAAGGACAGAAGCCAAGGAAAGCCGACCCAAAAGAAGACACCGAAGACGGGTTCATCGTCTCATCGACCGCGGGGGCCTAGTTGGGCGCCCTGTTCTGCGAGTTGGGCCCCACTTGAACCAAATACCGAATCCACCCCCAAATTGCAGAGTACACGAAGATCCGCAGGAAAACGGCTCTTGGAGCCAACTCAACTCGGAGCTCCTGGAGCTACATTGACAGATCCACAATCTTTAGATTTTTCAGCCGGGAGTCATTCCGGAGTGTAGGGAGACCTCCCAGAAAGGAAGACCTGAAAAATAGACCAGTCTACCTATTGGGTCAGGGGATGGCCCTTTTCAATTAGATACTGGGTAACTTGTAACTTCAATCAAGCTGGGTCTCCCTGTAGTCCAAAAAGAAAACACGTTCCGGCATCGGCGTGCTTCGCCGCTTCGCCAGGCATCATCGGAATGAGCTCCCCGGAAGGTGCCGTCAGCTCCGGCAACACCTGAGGTGAGGACGTGCTGAAGTCCAGCTCCATCAGAGTCCCCAAAAAGACAAAGTAAGAGAATGAATGTGTTTGAGATCAAAGGAGATTGCAAAACAGAGCACGCATGGTCTTGACCGTCGAAAACAGTCAAGAATCATGTGTATAGACGAAAATGGGTGAGGTCGGTGAGGTCGAGTGTCACTCGACCGAGGTCGGTGAGGTGCCATTGAGTTGGTTGACCGGTCAGTCGGTCCCCATTCCATTCTGCGTCACCTTGAGGGCTTCTTTTCCAATGCGCTTGGCATTCTCCAAGAACTCCTCAGGAATGTCATCACCTGGCAACAGGGCGTCCCTGTCATGGTTTTCTTGAGCAAAGAGAAGAAGAGCCACTGGCCTGTGACAATGACTTCGGTGCCATCCTGACATTGTCGGCTCTTCGTTTGCACCAACAAATGCAGACTGAAGCAACAGTTTGCACCAACAAAAGCAGACTGAAGCAACAAAAGCAGCAGTCCTCTGTTGAGACAGCCGCCTTGTTCGCAATGGCATACCTCAATTAAAGGAAGTGTTGAAAAACGTATACAGTATATATATATATATGTATATAAGAAAAGTAATAAATAAACTTAACATAAAACCAACATCTCAACTCACAACTCGTGTGAAAAACATAGATTGTCAGCAGTTGCTTTCGTTCTGCCAAGGCACAGAAACTCACCGTTGAACCAGAAGACGCGAGTTTCCCAGTTTCGAGTGAAGCCCTCAATGCATTCCTGCACTCACATCTACAGCAACTGATTTTTGCAACAAACGTTTCCCTTTAACGGTCGATGTAAACGAACAAGGCCTGTTTGTAGAGAATGGACTTCCAGAGATCATGTTCCATTTCCATTTTGGCAAGTCACAGTGGCCAGTCACGAACAGTCCCTTCTGGTCCCGGAAGAACAGGGCCCTTTGTCCGGTGAAACCCGCTTCGGCTGACACGAGACAGCCAAAACCCAAGAGGGCAAAGCAGTTCTTGACATGCTCCAGCTGGCACTTATACAAGGAGGCACCATGTGACACCACTGCATGACTGCATGTATCATATCCATTCATGTCTGTGAGGACTCCTGCACCACATATTCTGGGCATTCAGCATACTCCTTGAAGTACTTTCTCAGAATCGAAGGATCCTGGAGAAAGGCCGAACTGCACAGAATCTGATCAAAACCTGGACAGTCTAACCCCAAAGCCACGTGTGAAAGCGCCAAGACCCATGGCCCTTGTTGTTTCAGCATGTCCACATTCATCCGATTGATCCATCTAGGTTAAGACAACTGGATTCTGAGGGTGAGTCGTCCAGCTCACAATAGAGTGGAGTTTGACAAATGAGCCGCACAGGCCCAGACACAGTTCAGCGCGGAACCCTGATACCGGTCATCATGACCTTCAAAAAGCTTTACAATCATTATCCTTCAGCATCTTTCAGCATTCAGCCATTTGAGCTAAAAAGGCCACGCGCCCAACAACCAGTGAATCCGCCCGTCGGGCGGTGGGATCGGTTCGTTCGTGTCCTTTTCGCACTCCTCGACTTTCAACTTGCCTCGCAAAACTGCGTGGGTGCGTGACAAGCAGTGTCACAAAAACCGGAAAAGGTCCCGTGATAGCATTTCTCGTCTGTAGTTCCGTGTCCAAAGTTGTTGTAAACCTCCACGCGTATCACCTTTCAAAAAGACACCACCCAACTCGCGGAATGATTACGTTCCGCTTCAAAAACTGCGAAGTCATGCGAAGTCAAGGGGCAAAAGCCCAACGAGAAGGCCATCATGGACTGCTTCATCACAAAGGTCTTCCATCCACGCGCCTCCAAAACGAAAGGGATCTGTTGCAGGGCTGTCTACACAACGAAGCACCCCTAGAATTCAAAGGCGAACATCTGAGTCTTGCAGCATGAACACAATCCCCACTCATTGTTTTTTAGCCATTGATAGTTATGAATTATGAAGCTGCTTCTATCTACGACATGAAGCGCCTGCGAGACTTCCCTCCCACCACTGCCCCACTGCCCCATCGCGAGCACGCTGGCACCACGCTGCGTGCCGCGCGGCACTCCTGCCTTGATCTCCTTCAGCAACTTCGCCGGGCTGCGCTTGCCCTTGTAGGCGAAGATGGTGGGAGCCATGGGGATGCCCGCCTCACGACACCGGACGAGATCTTTACATGACGAGCTCGCGAAGAGATTCGGTGACCTTTCCCCAAAGCACCCCCAAAGCACCGTCGACCGGTGATCCGTGGCCGCTGGCCATGCACTCACTCGCAGAAACACGGCCGCCTTGGCCCGACTCTCATCAATCTCCACCAGCGGGCTGAAGCGAATTGAATTCAAAAAAGAGAAAAGCGAGTGTGTTTCTGCGGGTTGGTGTTGAAGCGGCAGATCCTAGCATCGACGTCGGAGACCTTTTGATGACTCTTATCCGTCGGAGACCTTTGGAGCTTCCAAGGGTGCCTTGACTCCCCAGGACGAAAAAAGGTTCGAACCAAAAGGGATCAAAAGGGCAACCATCGTTGGCTGCTTCACAGGTCAATCTATTTGGTTGGCCAGAGAAAAAATGCCTTTCTCGAAGCCAAAGCAGAGATCTCGATATTGATTTGCTTAGACCAATGGCCAAAGCCTCATTGATGTCTCGAAGCCGAAGCCCATCTACGAAACATATCTCTCCACAACAGGGATTCCAACCCCAAACCCACTTAGCCACTTTGCTCGAAAGATTCCAGAACCGAAAAATCACGAGCCACGAAAAACTCATTTGTTGGTCCAAATTGTTTGGGTAGGTAACCTGTTTGCAGCATCTTTTTGAGCCATGGGCCATAGCCGAATGACTTCACGATTCACACGCCGGGCGCCTATGCTCACGAATGGCCGATCTCCTCACGACGCATCGCGCGCATCGCCTTCAAGCATGCGTTCATGTACTTGGACTTGATGTAGATGAAGTCCTTGCCCGCGTGGCAACACCCGAAATTTCATCAAAAAAAGACCATCTACAGTCTTCCTTACGCGCGGGAAGCAAAGGGAGAAGTGACAGGTCAAAGCCAGAAGCTACAATGCGCTGAAGCCAAACCTGAGGACATCGAAACGAACAAGTGGGGGGGGGAGCACCCTCCCGCATGTAACATCATCCAACATCATCCATCCCGTGATCTCGAGGCTTCTCCTGCACTTTCCAGGTCGGCATGATGTTCCCGCACTGCTTAAACGCTTTCGTGACCGTCTCTTGCCTGCGGCGTCAGGGTCAAAGACTCCGATTCGTTGCCCTTCTGGCGAGTTTGATGAAGCTCTTAACCTATGATGACCTATGGCGCAATGGAATGCCCACCTCTTCTGGTTCTCGAACATGGTGTTGATCACCTCACTGAGATCTCTCACTCCCATCACTCCACCGAACGACACAGCCTTTCCTCAGGAAAGGAAAAATAACAGAGGATCGGACATCGTAACCGATCACGAAGTTGCAAAGGTTGGACTTCAAGCCTTGGGTGGACGACTCGGTGGCACAAATCATGGCCAAATCGTTGGCACGATTCCACGAGAGCAGGGTTTCGTTCCACGTACTGGCTCCAAAGATTCTGACAAAGGAAATGGGAATGAAGGGGTTGCAAGTTGGGGTGATTTCGTGCGATCTATCCGAGAGCACCCCAAATTGAAACCCTGGAACGACACTGCCTTTTGGTACAGCTTTCCACTACTTGGCTTCGCTATCTCGGGTTGCCGACGCTTGGTGGTGATCTCCTCAGGGAAAATCATATCCACCTGCCACCCGCGCCGCGCCCCAAACGGGCATGGAACCAGCGGGCGGGTGGGGCGAACAGGCGCCCAACACGTCAAGCGATGTCACGTCCGAGTCGACAGCGAAACGAGTCGCGTCCGATCGCTCCAGACTCGTGCGTCGCGATGCCAACCCCGTCGCAAACATGGTTCCTGGTTCTCGTCTCCATTCACGTTTCCAAACAACGCCCACGTGTCGCCAGTGACGTGTGACGTGTGCACGTGTGACGTGTGCGGAATCGGCCCGGTAACCGGGTCATCAGATCCCCCAATGGGAATGGCGTGAGACGGTTCAGCACCACGGACGACCAGACCACGGACGTTTCAGAGTGGAACCCGACCTCACGCGGTCCGCTTGGAACGAGCTGTGGGAAGAACGAGCTGGTTTCGAAGAACGAGCTCCTTCGCTCATGAAGGGTTTGGGAACCCATCCTTTTCAGACTTGATAAGTGAAGTGGTACAAACCGCAACTGATGGTGGAAGACATGACAACCTGTTGCCACTGCCAACCTGGTCCGGCTTCTCATCTGTGAAACCGTCGGAAACGTACACATCAGCGCTCCCAGTACACATCAGCCTAGTCGTCTGAGTTCCTCCTAGATATACACCAGAGTCACTAGAGATACACTCAGAGTCACTGACAGAAGTGGAAAACGCACCACCACCGTCGTTTGGTATGACCGGATGACTCAAACGGTCATCCCTTCGGGGCTGACCTGCGTTCTCCACGAGAAGGCCCATGATGATGTAACCGGGGAGTGCATTCATAGACTGGGCATGGAAAAGGAGACGCTTTAGTGAACTTTGGTGTACACCCTGGAAGACTAACATAGACCCTGAAAACCATTGGTTGGTAGAGGAAAACCATCTTCCAGGGGGCCTTTGTCAGGGTCTATGTTAGTTTTCGGGAGTGTAATTTCTGAGAGCCATGAAGAAACCGCCAACCCATGGCATGGATGGCTCGTGTTTATGGGGGCAGTTCTCCCGCTCAATCAGAGAGTTCTGGGCATCGGTACATTTCAGCCAAGTGATGTTCATCCAAGTGGCCGAAAAGGCGCACAACAGGAGTGGTGTCCATTCCAACATGCTTGGAAAATTCAGATCTTGAAAGCCTTCCAACTCTTGCTCTTTCCTCAGACCGTCGCCCCGTGCTCAAAAAACGGTCTTTCTTCACACCGTGGTGCCAGGTGAAATCGGGGCAAGATCGAATCACCCGGGAATCACGTGTCGCCCTGCCCTGGTCAGCGAAATCAGTTCTTCAACCTCTCAAAAGGTCGTCGTGACCCAAAGTCAGCACCTTGGCTGAAGCTATTGCTGCTATTTAAGCTATTTACACAGGCTGCGGGGCGAAAACACCAGCTCCGGGAAGTCTGGTCATGCTGAGAAGGATCTTTGGCAAAGCAAAGAAGTTTATTCCATGATTTTCGATACTCGCTGTGTATATATATATATATATACAGTATACCTTCTCCAGGATGATTCAGAATGACACATCCACAAATCCATCTTATCACACCATCCAGTGTCCTGTCACTTCTCCACTGCCACCCCTTCCCTCCCACGCCCCAACACCTACGGCGCTTCACTGGAACTCGTGGGACTCGTCGCCGGAAGCCCCTCGTCGCTTTGCGGCGACTCGCTCAGAGCGGCGCGCCGCTTGGAAGGCTTCGCCTCGGTCTTCTCCGGAAGCGGCTCTTTGGCCTGGAGAACGGGGGACAGGCATGGAGGGGTGTGGAAGAACATCCGCATGGCCGACCGGGAGAAGGGAGCTACGACGATGCGAATCACCAATGGTAGAGAGAAGAATAGTCTACGCCTTCTCTAGTACAAGCTTTTGCAAGAAAACCTCGCTTCGGTCATATCGTGTCATGTTTAGATTGACAAATGGTGTATTGGGGTATATAGAACCTCTTCTTTCTCACACATACATTCCTTTTCTTCTTTGGTCATCAGTGGCATACTAACCGTGCTATGTTCCAAGACATTCGTAGAAAAGTGAGCCAATGCCTCAGTTGTCACCAGAGTTTCAGGGTCACTTTCTGGCTGTACCGGAAAGCTGAAGCAACCTTCATCTCTCTAATGCCAAACGTCTGTTCTGACCCAGGATTGATTTCAATCAAAGTCTATAAGGGGCTATCTTGGATGGCCATACCAGCGCCACAAATCAAACGTATCCAACAACAAAAAGATCCAGGAAAAGAATAGATTGAATGTCTTTGGATAACCAGTTGGCTACGGCAGAACATGGCACCCTGATAGACCGATCTACTAAACAGATCTTAAACAAGACTTCCGCAGGACTCCCAAACGTCTCCAACCGATTTACACTCTGTCAAATGGAAGTGGATGGCATAGGGCCCGAAAGGAAGACGAAATCCTCCAGATGGGCGTGAACTCCCACGTTAGAAACAGTCAGAAACAGTAGAGACTTCTGAAGACTAGTTCACCCAGTCTGCGCCGTTTCACGACGGACCGCGCCCGTCGAAGGCACTGCGCCTTCTCCGGCAAGTCCGGTGGGTCCCGGTCGACCGCTTCCGGTTCCGCTTCAAAAGGGCGCTGCGCTTGCATCAGGGGCTCATACCCCAAAGGCTGCTCCAGGTAGGCCTGCACATTCAAAGGCCTCAAGATCGGTGCCAAAGCGTCGGTGCCAGAACGAGTGTGACCACATGCAAAGACCCTATCTTAGGTGAGTGAAGGGGCAAAACAGTCTGATCATTCTGCCCTTCCATCCAAACCTCTCCAAACAACGCATGCTGCTTGTCAAACCGAATTTCTGCCAAGAACCAGATCAGTCTTCACATTCCGAAAGGTTCAGTTGTGAAGCCCAGATGGATAGAGAAATGAATGAAATGAATTCATCAATTTTGTCATAGACATAGATAATTGTGCAAAAGGGTTGAAGATCGTTTTT